GAGAAGTATTGTAATATGTATATTGTATTTGTAAATTATTTGACCAAGATTAGAATTATAAAATTATAAGAATAGCTAAGATGGCGTTAAATAAAGTAAATATAATATTAATTTTATTTAACGCCATCTTTTGGTTATTCATTATTTCATACATATTCCAATTTATAATGATTGAAAACTGCTTCAACTAGAACTTTAATTAATCATTCTGAGAACATGTCCTTAAAAATGTCACAGGATCTTCTTTCCAAAGTAATGTTTCCCATCCCGTAGATCTCGTCGTATTTGAACAGAAGGAAATTGGAGCGGACTGATTGAGAGAGGCGTAAAAAAAATCGTAACGGATTCCTTTTAACGCATGGTAGCGCGATCTTCTCCAGATGCGCATTCCTGGTCAAACCACATCCCGTCCTCCGCCGGCGATATTCAAGATGGATGTTTCTTGCGGTGCGCGTCCTCTCCCTCTTTTCTCGTTCCTTTCGCTTTTCTCACCGCGGTTATTTTCAACTCACTCCTTTGCCGCGGCTCTCCTTACAGTATGTTTGGCCACTATTATGCAGTTGCATGCGCGCGTGCATCGGCGAACCACTGTATTGTGGTCCTGATATGACAGAGGTCTCGGTACCACTTACGCACCCGTTCGTCGTTTATTTTGTGGCTTTGCGCGTTACAGATCTTACCGTAATATAAGAAAGGTAAGATCTACATGCCTAACCTTTTACAACGTCGGGTTCCCTCGCTACCCTATTATATTTCTTGCTTCTCCGGCATTATATCGATATAGCATATTATTTCGTCTCTCTGTACACATATATTCTAGCTAGCTATTATTCCTTTACGACTGAATCAACATGATACAAAACATTATGATACCAATTATTATACATATATGTATAGAGACAAGAGGATTATTTGTAAATTAAAGTATCTATAAAAAGCGCTTGATTTATTAATGTATAATGTAATAAATGTCAAACTTACTCTTGTGTTTTATTTAATATAAAAATAAAATTATGAACTCTCTCTCTTGGCAAGAATATATATAAAAAAGTATACAATTCCTTTTCATTTTTGGTCAAATGTTAATTATAAGAGTACTCATACGTCAATCATTCTTCGTGAATGTTCAATCGAGGTGGAAAAGTCGTTGTACTACCATGGTGAGAAATACGCGTCAAACTTCTGTTTGAAGAAGGCAGAAGACGAGGAAGAAACTCGATTCGCGCTCGTGACCGATTTTCTTTGCCTACCGGCTGCGGCGACGGCAGCGATCGGTTCCGCGCGCAGATGGCGGGAAGAAAATCTGGAAAGGAGTTGGGTGGCGGGCAGGGGTACCGGGATGCCAGTTAACGTCGTAAATCGCATCCCTCGGAATTTATGCGTAATCTACGGTGACCTACGGCGAGCGGTTTAATGTTGCAGAGTTATGCGCCGGGGATACACGCGTGCGTTAACGCACGCTTCGTGCCACATGACACGTACGCACGCACGCACGCACTTAGGTACGTAAGCGACCTAGCCCAATCTTGGCGGCCCACGCCGAGTCACAGAAGGGCAAGGGAGTAGCGCTCCGCGCATAACGCATTCCCCGCGGACGAAGAAGGCAAAGAAGAGGAGAGAAACTGAGGAAGAAAAAGAAGGCGGCGAGGAGGAAGGTATATAAGAGTTAGCAGGGCGGTGCGTGGGTCACAATGCCCTTAGGCCCTTCCTCCCCCCCCCCCCC